CCCTCTTTTCCTTCTTCCTCTCCTTTCTCTGTCCTTCCTTCCTCTTTCTCTCTTTCTTTTTCAATAAAAGTTGACTTCCATAAGCACGATGCCCAGTTTTTAGTCTTGTCATATCATCTAAACACCATGAACTGTCTTACCCTAGGATGGGTAAAAAAATATGGAGGTTACAAGAACAGATCCTGCCTGAGTTTGCATCCTTCTTTCTACTTTAAAAATGATCTTCAGAGCTGAGAGTGGTGGCGCATTCCTGTAATCCCAGCGCTCTGGAGGCTGAGGCAGGAGGATCACTATGAGTTCGAGACCAGCCTGGGCTACACAGTGGGTTCTAGGTCAGTCTCAACTACAGAGTGAGATCCTGCCTCAAAAAATCAAAAATAAAGATCTTCAGTAAACTACCTAACATCTATGTACCTAAAATTTCCCATTCACAAATTGGGTGGAATTAGTGCTACTTCAAAGGATTTCTAGGATGATCAGATGAGATGAAAGCCATAGGACAATGCTTTGTGCATAGTGAATGATTTAAAAGTGTTAACTGCTGCTTGTTGCTTTGGACCAAAACTCAGCCCTGTTCTCCCAGTGAGTTTGGCTTCAAGCTCACCCTGCCCGTACAGCCTTGTTTTAGAGAGTACTTAGATCTTAAAAGTTTATGAACCATTTGTGGTTAGCACAATAGTGACCCTCTGAGGTGAGCAGGTATAAATTATTGTGACATCTTACAGATGACAAAACTAAAACTTAAAATGTCTAGTGCCTAACACTAGGAGTGACAAAACTCAACGTTCATCTCCTGTCTGTTCCTCTTTATAACTCTGCATATTGTAAGGTTCTCCAGATGATAGTACAATCCACAGGAACTTTCCATCTGGGCTTCTGCTTCCTTGGAGATAGCCAACTTCAGTACCATAGTCTGGTACCATGGTCTGACCCTTGGAGGCTAATTGGAAACCAAATGCAGTACCCCCCAGGACTCAAACAGAACCTCACACAGGAAGGGCACCCAGGGAACAGTTGGTTGGGTGGTAAATCCCTTACCACCAAGTATGGTTTGGAATCAGCCCACAGCTTTCCTCTCAACAAGCTCTGAGCCTAGTATTGGGATGGGTCTTATTTATCACGGTGCTTCCAAAGCCTGGTGCACAGTAAGCTCTCCAGAAATGTTTGTTCAGTTGGCCTGCAATGAGCCCAGACCTCCACAGCACAAGTCTGCCTGGTCTCTGCTTGAGCTCCAGAGTTGATTTAGGGGTTCACAAATGGGGGCTGATTGTGAGGTGCCTCAGAGTTCCATTCCCTGAATCTCAGTACTCCAGATTCGAGCTTATAAACTCTTAATCACGATTCATTCATCCCTCAACCTTTGTAAACTAACCCTGACTTTAGTAGCATTATCCATTCCAACTACAATGCTCTTACTATGGCACACAACCTTCCCTTTTTGCTACACACTGCTAAAACCCCCAAACAAACAAACAAATAAGTAAACAAACAAGGAGACCTTTCCATGGAGTTCAGCTAATGGAGCATCAAGACCTTTCTAAACTTGTCAATTACCTGCCCTGCAAACTTGGATACATTAATTACATCTCTGCCTAATCAGTTCCTTCCTCTATTCAATGTATACAACAGTCTACTTCGTAGAAACAGAATCAGGATCCCATGAAAAACTGTGTCATCGTTATCGACACCTGGTCTTATTAGGTAATCACTGTGGGCTAAGATATTTATGTGCAAAATATCAGTGTTAGGACAAAGGACAGTAAGGAGGAAAGGAGCTGTCATGTGTTGAATGCCTTCTATGTGACAGACTCTGCTCTATGTCTTTTCAGTAGGGTAAAGCATCAAATTCTTAAAACAAGTCACAGAGGCACTATTATTAGCCACATTTTACAAAGGAGGAAATTGAGGCTCAAAGATGTCAGTGGCTTCCCCAAGAATTACAGTGTAAGAAGTGACAAAGCAAGAATTTGAACCCAAAAAGCCTAATGTCAGAATCTTAGCACACAATCATCTTGATTACCTTCTACAATAGCATCTTATTAAATGGTTCTTATTGCTTTCTGATTTCATCATTATTGCTCTTACTGTTGTTATTAGTATTGATTAACCTCATTTTGCCTTATATCTGGCATGGTCCACGGCTAGTGCTAATTATACTCAGTATCTCCTATGGAATCTTATAACAAAGTAAAAAAGAGACTCCCCCAGGTTCCAACACACAGATCTCTGAAACTGGGCTGAGCTCTTAGACAACAGTATAAATTGGAAACAATACTCTCTCACTTCCAAGTGTAGGTAGGAAGGAATCTTAACAGCTTCCTCCTTGCTGTTATGGCACTTCTACTGTGAGCTCTCAACTGCCATGGCACAGGAAGGCCTAGCCCCAAGGAGAAGGCACAGGTAAGAGCTCCGCTTGACAGCCCCAGTAGCGCTCACAGCCGACAGCAGCACCCACTGCCAGCTCTGAGAGTAAGCCACTCTGAAAGTCCCACCCAGACAATCTCCCCAGTTACGCCAACCCCAGCCAACGTAAGAGACCCCCAAAGGTACCAAGTCAACCTACAGAGTCATGAAAGATGATAACACTGTGTAATCCATGAGACAGTGACTTTGGGATGAATTCTTTTGTATTAATTTCTAAGCAAAACATCCCTTTTGTGTCACAGCCCAATCATAAATTTCCAGCATCCCTTGAAGCCAAGTTCTAGCAATATATAGCCGATCGCTCACCAAATGTTAGAGGTAAACATCTCTTTGAAATAACAATAAGTTAATTAACATTTATTAACCTTCAGCACATTATTAACCTTTTGGTGACTCAGTTGTCTTATTGATAAGTCAAAGAGAGTTATGTGCACCTGGTTCAAAAGGCTGTAGTGAGAAGGAAATTAGTTCATATACCATTGTATGATGTCTGATCTTTAGAAATCTCTTTCTGCGTGTGTGTCTTTGTCTATCTCTGTCTCTGTCTCTCCCCGCTCCCATGTTTCCTTTTAACTCAGCCTGGTACTTTATTAGGCTCTTTAAATTTTAAAATCCTAATCCCCATGCTTATTCTGACAGCAAGCTTCGTTATTCAGTTTTGCAAATGAGGTACAGGTATTTATATAAAAAGCCCTGAGGCTGGTAAGTGGCAGGATGAAGCAGGGCTTTGACCTGTGTGCAGCTGATGCCCTGTGCTCCCTCCCTCTCCTGCCAGCTTCAATGCCGCCCCTCAGCGAGACAAGTAAAAATTTCAGTGGCACCTGTTGCAATCGTAGCACCTGCTCAGAGGACTCATCTCCAGCAGAGTTCAACAAGCAGACAGATTGAAGCTGAGCAATCAGTTCATTTGCAAACACAAACTTGCTCAGCTAGAGGTGGCCCAAGGTTCCCAGTGTTGGTGCCTCTGTCTGACACTGCTCCATGGCAGAGAGGTGCCCTGACGGCCTGAGAAATGCTCATTAAAGCCTCAGATGTAAATGCCAAGAAGCAGCCCACAGCCAGGGCAAGCAAGTTCAGCTCTCCTGGGAAGGCTTCAGAGCTCACCTTCCTTGGGCTCTCACACCCCTGTATCTGCATTCGATGCACTTTAAGTGAGCCTAATTGAGTGACTTGCCAATGGTGGTAGAAGGCCAGACAGTCTCTCCAGGTGGGTGCGGCAAGAATGTCAGGATCAGCTTTAATTTCCTAGACTGCACAAGGACGTATACGTGTAAATACACTAAATAGGCAAAACCTGCTAAGTTTGACTTGCTTCATTCTTTCAAAGAATAGATTTCTTTCCTTTGAATGACACTGAAGCCAAGACCTTCAAATATGAAATGAATTACAGCAGAGCTGCTCTGGTGGAAGGAGGTTGTAGAGCAGCAAACCTGTCTTCTTGCTGTCCTGTGATGCCTTCAAAGAAAACTTGAGACACCACTACGGACAACTGCTACCAGCAGACTGGAAGAATAAATTGGAATCACATAGATTCCACTCCTGGCTCCTTCCCTGTGTTAATCCTGAGGGGAAGTAACTCCTAATTCTTTGAAGACCTGTACCCTGTCTAGCTAGCTCATCCTTGTAATCTGCACACCATCTATCATATCCCTAGTACATCCATGGTGTGACTGGGGCAAGGTAAGGCAAGCCAGGCAACTGGGCTCTTAAGGAAACATACCTTGGGTGTGCCTGCACTCAGTGACTGAGCAAATGAATGCGTCCTTAAACTATTTGCTGTGTATGTCCTATTTGTTTTGCCTCACCCCAGACATCATCTAAAGCCCCCAGTGAAGAAGTTGACTGATAACCCAATTTCTTTGCCAGTATGGTGGGTATACAAAAAAAACCTACTTTGCTAGCAATTTTAAAATTTAACTGATAGCACATTTTAAGCAACCAGAATGCCATAATATCGGGGCTAGTGCTGTCTTCCTTAGTCAGGTGGATCGGACAGAATGCAGAAGTGGAAGTTCATGGTATGACCTCCTTTGGTATCCCTGGGGAAGTGGTTCTAGGACTGCCCATGAATACACAGATTTGTGGATTATCAAGTCTTTTATATAAAGTGGGGCAACATTTGCATGTAACCGAGGCATATCTTCCTGCATACTTTAAATCATCTCTAGATTACTGGTAATTCTTAATACAATGTAAATGCTATGTAAATCATTGTTGTGCTGTATTGTTTAAGGACTCATGACAAGAATAAAAGTCAGAATAGTTCGATGCAGACGCAATTTTTTTTTTTTGGCATATTTTCAATCAGAGGTTGGCTAAACTCCTGGGTGTAAAAACTGCAGATTTGCAGGTCTACTGCATTTTCAGGAAATAATGTGCAATCCAACGTGACCAGGGCCAGTAGGTGAGAAGCTAGAGGGAGTGCAGAGCTTCTTGGTCTGGACCATGCAAGGCTTTGATTACCACCCTCAATGAGCCATCTGTACTGCATGTCCCTCTGTCATCGTGAGTGTGAGCTAATGAGCACCAGCTGCCAGGTCAGGGCCGCCAGTGGCAGAGGTGGTAGTGGCACATACCTCTCTCTAGGCAGCTGGTGGTTGGGATTGTGGCGGCAGCGTACGCTGAGTCCAAAGAGCTTGCGGGCCGTACGCTGAATCTTCTGCCTCTGTGCCTCCGTGGCACTCTGCAGGAGCTTGTAGCGGTTCTGCAGGTCCCAGTCATTGCCCCAGTGCTGGTGGATGCTACCAATGGTCAGGAAGTGGTTGCTGGGGAGACGCTTCATGAATGATTTAAACTCATCTAGCAAGACACAAAGCCCAAGAGAGAAAGGCTAAGCATAACCACCCCGTCAGATGCCCCTCTAACATGCCGCCCCAGCAGCCCATACCGGAGCCCTGCACATAAAACCCAGTTGTATGAGGGTCATGGAACACTGCACTTGGCCTGCTCTGCTCCTAAAAAGTGGGGCAAAAGCCACTGAGCTTTTTGATGCAGTGAATCTGCATATCTGCATACAACATCACTGCCTGAGACAGGGCTTCCCAAACTTCTGTCATCAGAATGCCAACTTCAGGATAATATTCACATCTCCTTTGTACTCATTCTTACAGAGTCTTTGAATCAAATCACTATTTACCAGTTAAAAACTGAAAACAACATTTTTATCCAATTCTACACAGAAAATCACGATTGCATGACTCCAGCAGAGAATTCACCGTGGAAATAAGAATGAAAAAAACCCGATGTTAATAAATTCCAGTCAGATACTGTTGTCTGCTAAGTGATGGAGTCACCACGCCTTCTTTCACTTTTAAGCATAAGAAATTAATGCGCATGGGCGAGGTGTTAAAGAAACATTAGCACCAAACTGAAACTTTTTCTTTGATATAATCTGAAGGTTTGACAGGGAATGGAAGAAGACAAATCTCTCCACTCAGGCTCCAAGTGTTACTTGAAACAGTGTGTGTGGGACGTCAGAGATAGTCTCACACGGGGGAAAAAGTAAGCAGAAGAGATGACAAAGATCTCTCCTGTGTCCTTGATGAAGCTTTTACTTCAGTTTGTAATGCTGAGTTTCTAAGCAAAATTTTGGGCTACAATTTGACACAGCCCTAGAAATTATTTAGTTCGGCTCTCTGGCTCTCCACGCAGACTAGTGAAACTGAAGGTCAGAGTGAGAAAATGATTTTCTGAAGTTAACACAACTCGTGAGGAACAAAAGCTAGGTCTAAATTCTGAGCTGTTGTTTTCCAGTCTAATACTTCCTGCCTCCTAGTTCCACCATTCTCCTCCAGCTCTGGGAAAAGAGAAGGATAGGTGACTTCGAAGGAATAAAGGTCCATGTTTTATATATAATATAGTACATTATAATATATGAGAAAATGATTTTCTGAAGTTAACACAACTCGTGAGGAACAAAAGCTAGGTCTAAATTCTGAGCTGTTGTTTTCCAGTCTAATACTTCCTGCCTCCTAGTTCCACCATTCTCCTCCAGCTCTGGGAAAAGAGAAGGATAGGTGACTTCGAAGGAATAAAGGTCCATGTTTTATATATAATATAGTACATTATAATATATATATATATATATATTTAGATAAATATATATTTAGGAAGAGAGAAGAGAGCAAAAGAAAGAAAAGAAGAAAAGTAAAAAGGGAAGAGAAGGGGAAATACTTTTACTTTCTGTTATAAATCGGCAAGGAAATTTCACTCATATTGCACATTCATTTCATTTTTTAAAATGCTTACATAACTCTCAGGAGGTACCAGGCACAACACAAAGCACCTCACACTGATAACTGATTTTGCAGCAAATCTTTGTATCGATGTGGCAGGCACTTTTAGGGACCCCCATTTTATAGCATTAAAGCACATCAATCAACTCACTTTCCCAAGGTCAAAGCTTGGTTCCAATTTGTGTCTTCTACCTTAGTATATTACATTTTCTGTCAGTGTCCTGAGGCTCCAGATACGGAGAGAAAATAAAAATAAATAAATAAACAAAAAAACAAAACAAATAAATAAATAGGTATTGAAAGCCCAAGTCTTTGACTCCTAGAAAACCTTAGGTACCTTGTTGTAGACAATAAGACTTTGGAGAGTTCATATCACATTTCTACGTCCAAACAGCTGTAGAACCTTTATTCTCTCAAAGCTTCAGTTTCCACACTTGTCAAACAAGTAAAATAGTGTTTAACCCAGATGTTGAGAGAGTGATACAGGGCAGTACCCACCTCAACACTGCCTTGCACAGAAAATAGTGAGTGGTGGGTAGCAGAGATGACAAGTGCTCTGGTTGGATCTGGAATGTTCCTCAAAGGTGTGTGCATTGGCACTGGGTCTTCACTGTGGTATTACTGGGAAGTAAGGAAGGCCTAGGGCAGTGATAGTGACCTTTAAGAAAGCGGGTGCACAAACTACAACCCAAAACTCACTTATTTATTACAAAGTTCCAACTCTGCAATGAAACCCAAAAGGTTCAGTTTAGAAAGAATTCATACAAGTCAGGATGTCATCTCCGTGTGGTCCTGCATGCTCACTACAGCATGTGTGCCATAGGTGTGCCATTAAGAGCCCAGGGGAAGGAAGTTAAGCCATTCAGGCATGTTTTGAAGGGGATATTGGGACACTAGTCATTTCCTGTGTTGTCTTTTTTTACTTCCTGGCCACAATTAGATGAACAGGTTTCCTGCGCCATCACAGGCCTAAAATAATAGGGCCAAGTGAAAAGGAGCAGAAACCTTTCAAACAGCAAGTCAACATGAACCTTTCCTCCTTTGAAGTTGATTATCACAGGTATATTGTTCCTGGTATGGAAAGTTGATGAATAAAAATAGTGACAAGAAACTCTGCCCTGATTGATATTCTGTGAGCTGGCTGGAGGCAGGAGATGGGAGCCAGTCTCACTTTTCTCCAGTGGAAGACCTGTTGCTCATCTCGTCATGGGCTCTGTTGATCTGAGAGGATGTAATGGTCCTTTCACTGAACCCAAAGTCAGATTAGCGAAGAAATATAATTTAAAAGTTTAATGCTTTCTCTTGACTATAAGGAGAGGAGCCCTTCTCTAGAGTAAGGAAGCAGACAGCCTTCCATTTATATATAGAAATTGGGTCCCATTTGGCCACCAAATCTATGGAGCCATCAAGGAATCCATGGCTTTTACTTTGAGCTGCTCATTCTTTCTGCCAAATTACCCTGCACTGAGCAGTTAAGGCGAAGAAGGGCTGAAAAATCAGAATGAATCACAATCTCAAGCCACAGATGCAGGTGTAAATGGATGGATTTGTCTTAATGGGTAAAACTCCTTCTGATGGAGAATTACAAGAGATCTGGAGAGAATGTATGCCTTACGGAGAGGAAACTGTGGCAAAATGATTTCCTTTTCTGCAGTGGCACAGCTTTCTATTTCCTTACTCACCCACTGAAGGCGGTTTCTCTTCCTTGGGGACGGGGGATGTATCCCAAAGTTGCCCACCACTTGTGTGTAGAGCCCTTATTTCCCTCTGCTTTTCAGCAATCAGTAGAATTTCTCTGTGAAAGCTTTTTATCAAATGCCTTTTTTGTTTTAGGCCAAATAATCATAACACATTTCCATCATGAACCTCTCTCTCTTATGGGTTCCCAGGATTTCAAATAGACTAATGGGTACAGTTTCATAAAATATCTACAGCGCCATTCAAGCCGCATGAGTCTGAAAGAGCAGAAGCCCTGATGAACTGTGTGCACCCAGAGCGAGACGGGGGCATGGAGTTCACGGCAAATAGTTGCTGCAAATGCTGTGCCACAAAGCTCTGCTTTTATCCGTGATGCTTCGTGGCTCCAAGGTAAGATTTTGTTTAATCAAAGGGTTTAAATTCAAATATGAAAAACACAAACATGTCCTCTCATTTATCAGATGTGGGAACTAAAGCCTGGGTTGGAGTTAAGGTAGGATTCATAAGGTAGGATTTCGTTTCTAACCCTGCTGTGAGCACTGGATTTGGAACCAGGGATTCCGTAATCAGTGTTGTTATTTACTAACGGTGTAACCTGGGGAAAGATTCGGAATCTCAGTGTACTCCTTGCTGTATAATACAGGAGCATCACTGCTTGCTTTAGTGGAACTGTTATAATAGATTTAATGGATAAAAAGCTGTTTTAAAAACAGGAATGCTCTACATGCAGGCCCATATGTTCGACAGACATTTGAGCGCATATTATATGCTAAATACGTACTTGGCCTCGCTTGGAAGTCTTAAGAATTCTCAAGAGTACGATGTCCAAAATTGAGCATACTGTCTTCTTTCCAAACATCCCAGGGACCTAGCTCAGTGAAGGGCAGGAACCCCCATCAAGTTATTTAACACGCATATGAAAGATTGTTCTTGGATATCATTTAAGTCAGTTCTCTCAAGTTTCAGAGCCAATGTGACATCAAATTTGATAATTTTTCCCTCTAATTATCTCCGCCTCTCTGCCTACTTCCTGGGTCACTACATGTACTATGTGCAATCTACTCAGTGGGTCATTTCTCTCCCAGGCTTCTTGTGCCTCCCGCTAATCACCTTCACCCAATCTAGCACCAACAGTCAGACACTGAAGTGTGACCCCATGGCCTTTTTTCTGACCATGCTGATCGCATCCACCTTTAACTTCACATTTGTTTGGGACAACTCCTCCTTCCTTACACGGGGAACTTTGAGATGTTGCTATCATTTGCATCACTGTATAAGGAACGCCTGATTTTATGACAAAACTGAAAGATCCACGAAGGCAAAGATCCAACTTTAGATCTTACCCCATTTATGACTTTGGGCAACTGATCCACCTGTCCTGTAACTCATTTTTCTGATCTAGGAACAATGGGAAATAACTAACTCAACAGAAAAATGACTTACAGCTTTGATAGTCTTTGAATATCTCTATTTGTACATGTATGAAAACACACGCATGCATGCAGTCATACAGACCTCTGTTCATTTATTATGCACATGCGTGCACACACACACACACACACAAATATAACTACTTTGGGCTCTCTACTCTCTAGAATAGTCTTACTCTGGCTTTTAGGTACACCAGAGATAAAACACATATGACTACAACCAATCACCCTATTCGACCATCACTCAGTGGAGATTGACTGAGTGCCTACTCTGTGACAGCTGTTATTCCTGGCTCTGGAACCCCCCGAGGTGACAAAGTCGGCGTCTGTGTTTTCCCTCACCAGCAGTCTTTGTTCTAATTAGATGAAGCCCCTTCTCTAGACAGGGCCCAGGGCCTTTCGCGCCCTGGTGCTGAGTCCGGCTGTCTACCTGAGTTTTCCAGATCCTTGTACGCCTCTGCCCACGACTTGGCCATGCTGGCCAGGGTGTGCTCCATGACCTGGATGTCGGTGACGGGGCAGTTGCACTGTGGAAACTCCTCGGCGCACTGGCAGCCGCACTGGCTGTCCTGGCACACGTATTCCCCCTCGCCATTGCACATGATGTAGCTCAGGGCCGACTGCACGAACTTTTCCTGCAGATACTGAGGGAAGATGATCTGAAGACCTGTTTGAGAGCAGCAAGAAGAGAAGACGGAAAGGTGAAAAAAGGTGTTGCATTAGCAGTTTCCAGAGGTGACACATAGGCATCTACGGCTGCTAGCTTTCTCCCTGTGTACTGGAACCGAACTATGTCTGGGCCTATCTAGGCACAGACAGGCATAATCAGAGAGACTTCCATGTGCAACACTTCAGCTTCGGCTTTTCAGATCATGGCCTTGGCCCCCTCTGCGTGCTTTACACAGTTCTGTGACCGAGAAGACAGCAGATCTGATATCTCCCTTTCCATTTGAGGAAATATTACTCATTGAACACACAGGGCTAGTGTTTATCGTTCCTCATTCCCTTCACTTATTTTCTCTCCCTTTCTTAAAAGATGTATGAACGCTATTTATGAAGAACAAATCCTGAGGAAGGCATTAAAGTCTACAGATCTTAAAAAGGAAAATAACCACAATCTCTGCCATAGGGGAGTTTTCCAAATACTCGGCATGGAGAGACAGGGATGCACATCTTCATAGCACAGCTCTGTAGGCAGATAGTGGAGGAAGCAGCTGGACAGAACAGAAAATAGCAGGGAAACCTGTGTACCAAAAACAGAATCTGGGCAGGTGAAAAAGCAAATGAGAAAGCACTGTGTTAAAAGAGCGAGAAAGATGCTTTAAAATGAGGAGCAAAAAGAGCAAAAATATGATTCAAAAAAGTCTGAGAGACTCAGGTGAGTGAAACAAAGTTGGACGGATGGGGTGCGCTACTGCTGGGAGACAGGTTGTAAATAGGGTTAGAGGTCAGAGTGCAAAGGCCTTCAGTACAGACCAGAAATTTTGTATTTGTACCTAATGAATCCATAGCCATATGTTGGTTGTTTTCAAGGGTTAATGACCGGATATGACTGGAGCCGTAATTTAGCAAGAACATTTATATTAATAAACAGTCATATCAGTGAAGAAGGACATCAGAAATAAATAACTCTCTCTTCTTTGCTCTAAAAGTGAAGAAATGAAGGTCTAGTAAGGGGACGGGGTATGAGCCCTGGAGAACACATTTTATGATCTTTCCTTTGTACCTGAATGATCAGCATAACCTTGCAAGTGAAGACCAAAGAATGATTTACGTGGACATGTGCAGTTCTCTGGTTCCTTAACAAGTCATCACAGTACAGTCTTTATCGCCCATGCTGCCCACACAGAACTTCAACTCTAGATTAACCAAACTCATTGCCTGGGAAGCTTCTTTCCACCTCATCTGAGCTGCTAGCAGTGATAGTCTCCTCCGATACACATGAAGGTGACCGCTTTTACTACCACTATGTAAGGGAAAACTACATTCTAACTTGGATAACTAAACAACAACTCTTTCGTCATTTATGCTTCATGACTACCTCTCATCTTTCCCACCAGGATAAGGGATCTGCTGAATAAGCTTGGTATTTCTTTCACTTTGTACTTCAGGCTTGTGTTTGCAGAGCCCAAGATCTCTCTCTCTCTCTCTCTCTCTCTCTCTCTCTCTCTCATTTCAACTGGTCCTCATATAAAAGCTAAAGAGAGACGACTTTCCAAAAATGTACTAATGTACTGTGTATTCAAAGAAGACGCCTCCAGCATGGCTTATGGCAGGAAACCACAGTCCTGAAAGAAATAGGTGGACATTGCTACCTTTGAGCATCTCACTTTATTGCCGAAGTCCTCTCAAGCAAAGTATACAGCCTCAGCTCCACTTCCCCCCTCTGCTCAAATGGAGATACTTCTAGTATCTACACCAGAGGAACAAATGAAAAATTTCTATAGATTGTGGGGAAAACTTCCTGGCCCATGACAAGTAAACAAATGTCATCTCTTCCTGTTTCTGAGGCAATGAAGACGAAAAGGATGATATTGATGGTGATGATGATGACTGTGTCACTACTCCAACTAAATTTTTACAGGTTTGACAGAACCTTCAGGATAAATAAAGCAAGAAACAATAGTGGCAGGTATTTAATCAGAAAAGGGACATTTTTGGAAGGCAAGCTTCAGATATTTGGAGAGCTATCACAGATGGAAGCTTTAGAATTCTGTGACTGCGGAACGACAGTGCTGCTCAGGAAAGTGTGTACGTTATCTTGTCATCTGCATGGAAGACATTTGAACAGGGGGAGTCACGCAGCTGGACACAGCCCACTGGATAAGGGCTGGGTAAGCTCCTTTCCAAGGGACAAGGGACCCACATGAGATACCGTGATTCTGCGAAAGGGTTACTGGACTGGAGTATGATGGGGACAGAAGAAGGTCATGTGGAGTAACAAGCTGTAAAGTCCTACACTGAGCCTTCCAGTCTTTCAGAGTAGGCATTATTGAGTCATCTTATCTGTATCACCATTTTCTCTTCCAAAGCAAAATTTATTTTTAGCTGGTTCCCATCCCCTATAGGCAACTGGGTCTATAGATTGGGGTTAAATTTCTGTTGCTTACAGGAACTCTACAGACTATGTTCTCAGTCCCATTTTTCTAGCTTGCTCATCATTTTCTTTCTCACTTTTGTAGGGAATAAAATGTTCTATTCTTGGTCCCAGCCCAAAAGGAATTTGGGGAGTGCATTTTTAGAAAACTGCTTCAAATCATTTCTCTGTTTGGCAAGAATACAAAAGCCAGTATTACCTACCCTATTTAATGCAACTGAAAACATGAAATTTGGGGTTGGGGGTTTTCTGGGAGCAGCTGAAACAGAAAACTGGCTGCTCTTTAAAAATGGAAACACAGGACCTGCCACGCTATCTCTGAGGCAAAATCTCCTGGGCAATTTCAAACGAGAATAATGAAGACATAGCAATTAAAAAGCACTTTTCTGCAAAATGTCATTACTGTTTAAAGTTACATAACCATTTCTGCGGCAGCAGAGGTTCACACAGCAGTCACAGCCACAGTCATCTCCCAATGACCTGTGTCCAACAAAGAGGCCCATTGCTGACCTCCAAGACTGGCGCCTGAATCCTGCTAGCTTCAATGGGAGTCATAAATAATTTGGAGGCGGATTTGGCTTGGGGAATCACTGCTTGAAAGATATACAGCTGCCGGCTGGGGTGGAATATTGTGTCCCCACATTTCCCAAAGACACACACACACACACACACACACACACACACACACACACACACCAGGGAAAGGACAACTGATAAAATGAGAAAGAAAAATGCCACCATTATCGCCACGTACATAAATTTTGCCTCCCAAAACCCAGCAGGACAATGGTTGTAAGTTACATTTGAACACCAACTCACACCAACTCACCCACACTGAACATATGGAATATTTTCCCTCCAATCTCATTACCTTTTTCTTCTTTTTTTTTTACTCTTGCCATGCCTTAAAATGGAATGTTTCTATGTTGTACAAAGTGAGCGGGCAGTGTGTAGGTGGCAACACCCAAGCATCTTCCTTCTCTGCTCCTGATTCTTACTCTACCCCTCCTGTCCTCCCCCACTTCACCTCAGATACATTCACAGTACAACACTTTGTGTATTTTGTAGGTCATCTTTGTGCGCTGAGATCTTATTTCTCCTCATCCTGTCGCATGATGGGCTATCTCTGTGTCCCTGCCTCCCTCTTTCCTCTTATCTCCTAATAGTTTTTCTTCACACACAACACATGAGACACAGGGATTTTTTTTTTTCTACTCTTCCGAAGTGTCAGCAGTGTTCTCTTCAGTCTTTACTTTGCCCTTCCCTGTGCTTGGAATTTTCATTCTCCACATCTCTGTACAGCTCCCCTGTCCTGAAATGCTGACCTTCCTATACTACCCAAGTTGAAATGCCTTTCTTGTTTTCTTCAATAGAAATAATTACTAGCTTAAATGATTTTATCGAGTCGTAATCTTCCCGTATCACTTTTTGGGGAGGCAGAGTACCACTTGTCCTCTACAGATCTCAGAATGTACAACAAGATGGAGCCCAGTGTAGTTTGCTGGCACTTCAGTTCTCTTCCTCATCTCAACAGAGAAGAGAACTATTCCATTAGGATTTGGCAAGGTCAGAACTGTAAACGGAGGCCCACAATTAAATTACAGAAGCAAGAGTCAAATGGAGAAAGTTGGACTGAGTTTTCGACTCTGGGTCCTTGTACTCTCCAGTGGAGAAGTGGAGACTGAGGCAAGCTCCTGGCTTAGGCCCCCTGGTGGCTGCAGCAGAGAGCAACCTGGCAATAGGTTTTAGCCTCTCTGAACCTCAGATTTTGTTCATTCTTCTTTTTTCACTTGTGAGATTGAAATCCTAATCTCCTTATTCAATAATGAGAAGAGAAAAAACTCAACAGCATCTGAATCACAATATGGTTGTTATGGAATGAAACTTTTTGCCACCTCCCATCCCCTGGACAAATTACAAGAGCATATGCTGAAATTGGAACCTCCAGTGAGATGTGATTAGGCAGTTGAGACCTGTGGGAAGTGATTAGGTTAGATGAGGCCAAGAGGGTGGTGCCCCTTCATGATGAGATCTGTGCCTTTATCAGAAGATAAGATGGAATAGCTTTGTCTCTCCAGGACACACACCAAGGAAAGGACGAGCACACAGTCAAAGGGCATCTGTATGTACCCCAGGAAGCAGGCTCTCACCAGAAATCACACTTCATGACACCTTGATCTTGGTCTTCCAAGTCCCCAGAACGATGACAAATAAATGTCTTTTGTGTGAACCAATCTAGTCTGTTATTTATTATAGCACCCCAAACATGATAAGATACTGGCATAATTAAATTTGGAATAAATGTTGTTTCCTCATTTACTCCGCATAGGCTTTAGGGTTTGAGTGATCCACAAGAAGAATAGTCCAGAAAGTGAAAACAGCATGTGAAAAATCTTTAGGTACTAGTATTTCTACGAGAGAACCAACCTGAGCATATTTTTACTTTTGTATTAAGATACATTTCCTTTTATTCGTTTTCTTCCAAGTTCCCTAGAGGAGAAAAAGGTTCTTGTGTTGTTGAGATCAAAACTCTGAAGAAAAAAAAAATGGCCCATAGCAAAGATCTATGA